GGAGCGGGCTCGTATGATTGCGTGCTTCTCGTCATCAGACCCATTAAACACTCGATGTCTCACTCGTGTTCGCCTAACTTCGTCGCTGCAGATACGAAATGTACGGAAAGATCGCGCCCACTTCGCTTCGTGAACAGATGCTCCTCCTGTTGCCCGTGCAACGAAGGGTCACTCTCGCTGCACGGCCTGCCACATCAGGTACTTACACAGCCTAAGCACCCTCGCTGGCAGTTTTGGTCCCCTGATCATCCCCTGCCGCGATCAAGGCGGATCTGGCACCCTGGCACCCCAATGCCAAGGCGACCGCAAGCGGCTGTGCACAGCGGCCACCTGCAGGACACCGTGCACCTGGCACGCAAACGCCACTTGTTACGCTCATCGGGACCTACGCAAAACTCCGAACCGTCGAACAAAACTGGAACGAAGCAGTGCGAATTACGCCCACTCGAGAGGAGGGGGCCAAAAAAGAGGGCAGACCGCAGGGAATGGAGACAAGAGGGGAAAGTATCCACACACACACACACACACACACACACCTGAAGGCCTTGGACTTCGTAATCCACGCTGATCGTGTGCTGACGGCCAAACTATTGGTAGCAGCCTCAGTTCCCGAAGTGGCACTAAATGGAATCCCACCAGCCCTCTGGGCGTAGGTGGTTTAACGAAGTTTGTCTTGTATCTTCAAATTGCCCTCCCTTCCCCTGTCTACCCCACCTGGACCTGGGAGGGGAGGACCCCGAGGGATTAGAGCGTCCAAGATGGCCCAAGATGGCCCCAGGAGGGCCTCTGAGAGCGCAAGATGGCCTCCAAGACGGCTCAAGATACCTCAAGATGGTTCAAGATAGCCTGCCTCCGAGAAAACGCTTACAGGGTAGTTGTTACTGCACTCGTCTCAACTTCTCTGATCAAGGCAATTCGCCTGGCGATCTGCTTCTGGATGGGCTGGTGGCGATACGCAAAACGTGAGGAAGTTCCCCCAGCGAATAAGCACCCGTGATTATGCCCCGAAACGCGCACAGTTGGCACTCGTCGCGGAGAAGAGCAATTCAGGCAACACGCCAGAGTGCAGCCAAGATGCCTTTCGGCCGCCCCGCACCCTAGGATCCGCCAGCGGCGCGCGCAAGTACTCGCGGACGGACCACGCGCGCCACGAGAAGCGTTCCAAGAAGCCCTCCGCTCCTCCTCCTCCTCCTCCTCCTCCCCCTCCTCCTCCTCCTCCCCCTCCTCCTCCTCCTCCTCGGCCCCCACAGCATCCTCTGCCGAGACCCTGACGCAGGCGCTCCGCGAGGGCCGAGTGGCTGGAGAGGAGAGAAGGGGCCAAACCTGCAGTGGGGTGGGGCCCCCCCGCCTCCGGAGCGCCAGCGGGAAGGGCACGGGCCGGTGCGCCCGAGGCGGGCGCGCGACGCGTGCGCCTGCGCGCGCGTGCGTGCGCGTAGCGAACTGCCTCCACGCACAAGATTACCCCAGCAGAGCACCCGAATGGCAGCAAAGGTGAAGAGGCGGGTCGAAGAGTAGGAGGTCGACTATACAGTTCACACATGTAGTAAGGATGCGCGGAAAGGGTGCAGAGGCCTTGGGCGCCCATGCCGAGGCTCTCCGCGCGGGGCTGGCCACCGAAAGTGCTTGGGGATGGGCTGGGGATCACCGACGAGGCACGGATGCGAGTGGTACTCCTGGGAAGTCGATCAACCCTACTGCGCGGAGGTGGACTGGAGTGGACAGGCGTGCGAGCACGGCCACGTGCACTCGGGTGCACTTCCTGCCGAGGATCGTGGCCGCCCGAGCCGAAAAGGTAGCCTAGGGGGCCACATGCAAACCCTACCCCTACCCCCAACGATTTCTGAGGAGGAGGGTGGGGTTCACTTCGCTCGGGAGCTCCCACACGAAGTGAACCCCACCCTCCCCCTCAGAAATCGTGGGGGGTAGGGGTAGGGTTCGCATGTGGCCCCCTGTAGCCAGCGTGGAGGCGAGAGCGCGACCGCGGACACTAGAACTCGTGGCGAGGCCTCTGGCGGCAGGGCCGCCGGCCCGGGCACGGGATCCCCGACCCGCCCCCGGTGGAGCTCCTCTGTGGTCCTTTTGGTTAGGCGGCGAGCCCTTTTCCTCCTCCTCCTCCTCCTCCTCCTCCTCCTCCCCCTCCTCCTCCTCGGGGGGGAAGTGAGAAGGGGCGGGGCTTCTCGGAAGGCTTTCTGAGCAGTCTCGTCTAGGCTTTTCCCGAAGACACAGAAAACTTCTCGAAGTCGCAGGGGCTTCAGAGAAGCCCAGCCACCTTCTGAAAAGGCCTTCTCCTTCTAATTTCTCCCCCTCGCTCGCCGACCATTTTCAACACGATCATAACCCTGTAGCGAAACGCAAGTAGAGAATTGAGCTACAAAGTACACGATTGCACGGCGTCTCGGAAAAGGCGTGCGCCCGTGCACGCGGGGATGGGCATCGCATGTGCGCGGGCTCGCTGTGCGTCGGGGCCTACGAGGGCCAGCTTGCGCGCGTGCTATGTAAGATCCCATGACTACGCTAGCTTTTGACATATGGGCTCTGACCTGAAGGTAACTGTGACGCAGAAGCGAGTTTCTGTCTGATTGAACCGTCAACCAGCGGAGAACGAGTCTGCGGCATCTACTCCCGTCACTGGCCCCATTTCTCTCGAACTCCGACTAGCGGCAAGCATCGGACTGGAAACAAGACACCGCATGGATCGAGGACCGATGCTGGAAATCCGAGAAGAAGCGCGCGTCGCACCAACGTAGGACGCCGCCTGCCTTGTCCGAGCAGCGCAGATGTTTTCCCGCAGCTATCCTGTGGTGCTGGGTCCTCCTTCTAAATCCGCAGCGCCTCGCGTCATTCCTCTCTTCATTTCTGGCGTTAGGCAAACATCAAGGGCGACGCTTGTTGCGTTCGGCTCCTTGATTTCTCCTCATCCTCCTCATCCCTCTTCCCTCCTCGCTTCTGCCCTCCGCATGTCCTCATCGTCATCGCCACCACCACCGTCAGCAGCAGAAGCAGCATCAACACCATCGCACGCACACACACACACACACACACACACACACACACACCTCTCACGCTTCGTCGCCAACTGGAGCGCGTTTCTCCATTCGCGGCGATACGGGCGAAATGGGGGGGGGCGGGGGCGGAAGCAGAAGGTAACGCCCCACCTCCGCCGTGCGGTTCCGGCGCCACCACAGCGACCGCGCGCACAACGACGAACGACGACAACGACGAAGACGACGACGACGACGATGACGACGGCGACGACGACGGCGACGAGCGACGGCAGCATCGACGACGACGACACCGACGACGACGACGACGACGAGCGACGGCAGCGACGACGACGACGACGACGACGACGACGACGGCGACGACGACGACGACGACGACGACGACGAGCGACAACGACAACAACGCCACCGCCGACGACGACGACGACGACGACGACGACGACGACCGCGACGACGACGACGAGGACAACGACGACGAGCGACCACGACTACAACGACCACGACGACGACGACGACGACGACGACGACGACGACAACGACGAGCGACGACAACGACGACGACGACGACGACGGCGACGACGACGAACGACGCCTCCGGAGGTCTCCGGAGGTTTCCTGAGGCCTCCGGAGGTCTCCTGAGGCCTCTGCAAGCCTCCAGAGCCCGTCCGGAGGTCATCCGAAGACCTCCAGAGGCCCTCGAAAGCATCCGAGGGCGTTTGACAACGACGAGCGCCCGCGAGCGATGACGACGACGGCGACGACGAAAATGACGACGACGACGACGACGACGACGACAATGACGAGCGACGACGATGACGACGACGACAACGAAGAGCGACGGGGAGTTTTGGCGAGCACATGCCTGCGAAGGCGTCGTTGCCTCCACATGGCGTATAAGAGGTATGCGATCCCCATGCGGATCCCTATGCGAATATGTGTGCGGATGCCTATGCGGATCCCCAATCGGGTTCCTATGCGGATCCCTGTGCGCACGGCAGCAGTGCCAGGGACGCACTGGGGGCCAGAGCGTTACGTTGATGGGGGGGCGGGGGGGCCATAACGCGCGGTACGGCCCAAGCAATAAAGAAACACGCTCTAAGGGAGCTCAAACGAAAGACTCACCCACAGCGCCCGCATGCGTCACCGCATCCATTCCGACACACCCCTCACACGTTTCGTAGCCCCATGGGGAGCTCCGCCGAAGGCCCCAGTGGCATCGCCCACATGCGTGAACGATCCCATGTCAGCGCAGCCCTCACACGTTTGATGGACCCACAAGGAGCTCCTCCACCGCAGGCCCCAGTGGCAGCGAACGCATTCGTGACCGCGCCCACGTCGGGAACCCCCTTCACACGGTTCGTGGCTCCATCGGGCCGTAGGGAGCTCAACCGAAGGCCCCAACGACAGCGCCCGCATGCGTGACCTCGCTCATTTTGGCAGACTCCTCCAACGCTTCGTGGTTCCAAAGAGAACTCCACCGAAGGCCCATGTGGCAACGGCCGCATGCGTGACCCAGTCCTGCATATAGTCGGGTTTTCCGCCAAGACAATTCCTCGATTTCGGAGCCCGGAGCCTGTTCCCCCTGCTGTTGGCAACACTGGGCAGCATGGGCAACAGTCAGTGGAATCGCTACTCATGCGACAGAGCACGTTGCTTACTCAGAAGGTACTCACCGAGCCTGGCATGATGCAAGTAATACTGCACAATATATGCCAAACGCCCCAGCCCAAACTATTTCTCCGTGACCCTTTACAAGCAGTCATCGCGCTACTAGTGCCCAACGACGAACATGGGCCGCCCAGCGAAGTACAGGGGCCGACTGTCGCCTCGGTCGTCAGCGCCAGCTGACAATAATGCTCACGCATGCCCTCGAACTTTCGCTGGAAGGGTGGAAGCGGGCGAAACTTTCCGCACTCCTTCGACATAGATCTATCAGCGACTACAAATGCATTCTCGCACTCTCTCCACTTGTGCATCTCAGCAAATGATTTGCTAAAGCTACGGAAAGTCGTGCAGGAAGCCCGAAGGCCAATCGAGCGTGTAGGAATCGTCCCAATGATAGATGGAAACGTTGCGCTCGTAAAACGTCTTCACAAATCGGCAATACAGCGATTTAGCGTCCCAGCCGCGGCCCGAATGAAACCCAGGCGGCAGCGGAGGATGTTTGCCTGCCGAGTATTTGCTGCAAGGCTCCATTGGCAAACGGATTGCCTCTGCGTAGGTTGGGAGCTCCTCGCCCAGGCACAAGAGGTTGATGAAGTCCGTGTCTCGATCGTGCAGCCAGAACTTTCTCCGCCACGCAGGCGTCACGAAACTGAAGCCCGGTTTCTCCGCGCACATCTTGTCAAGCAGCAGCTGCGGGGGCGACGATCGGCGAACAAAGAATGACATATGAACAAAAACGTTCGGAGGTCCGTGTGGAGTTCCTGGGCTGGGCCCCACCATTCCTGGCGCGCGGAGCGCGCCAGGGGCGGCGCCACAGGCGCCGCCAGGGGGCTCCAGCGCCGATCCGAGAAACCAGCGCGGATCTCCGAAAGTTCACGTTTGCATCTTGGCGGCGAGCGGAGGGAGAAATGAGAAGAAGAAGACCCTCTCAGAAGGCGGCGGGACTTCTCAGAAACCCTCACGACTTCTGAAAGGGTTTGTGGTGTCTTCGGGGGAGGCATAGAAAAATTCTCAGAAGGGTTGGGGACTTCCGAGCCTTCTAAGAAGCCCCGCCCCTTTTCACTTCTCTCCGCGCTCGCCGCCGAATCATTGTCTGCTCCCCGAGATGCTGGCGGCGGCAGAGGCGGTTTGTCCAAGCCCCGGTCGGGGGCCTCGCCCACGACGGGGTGCAGGACGATGTCGGGCCGCACCGCCAGCACCTTTGAAAGGCACCCAGGGAGGAACAAGTCAATAAACACAAATTCAAGGACTCCCCATATTTATCCATATGTTATGGATTTTCGTCGTTCCTGTAAATATACGCTTACTTATGTCTATGCCAATTCTCCCCTCCTCAACCTTGTCGAACTGCACCCCGCTCTTCACGAAGGCTGCAACCACGCTATGCACGCGCTCGAACCAGGGGTCGCAAGGAGGCCAAAGCCTCTCCCCCCGCAGATCATCGACATTGCCGAGGGGCACGTCCAACTCAACGCCGCCGTCGGACGGCCGCCAGGCCAGCCGGTCATGGTCAAGACACGTGGTATTATCATGGATCACGCTCACTTCGCGGGTGCCAAACAGCTTCCTGATGCGACCCGCGTGAGCCGTCGGGTCGGTCGGCTCCTCGCACTTGCGCCTCTCAAACTTCGGCGACTCGCGGTGGCACTCCAGTCCCGCATCGGTGTGGAAAACAATCTTGAAGGTGTACCCGGCCCTCTCGTTCGGCAGCACAACGGCCTGCTCTAACGCCGGCCACGTGGCTTCGAAGTGCCGTGCCAGGCCTGCCAGTACCAGCAGCGCGCTCTTACTCTCCGCAGCCCGCGGAGATGCCGCGGCGGCACGCGGCGCCGTCGCCTCGAGCTGCATGCCCAGCACGAGCGGCGGCGACAGCCTCAGCAGCATCAGCGACACCAGCCTGAGTGCGCAGGCCATTGGTCACACCGACAGCCCACACTGAGAGGCCGAGGCCGAGTCAGCAGAAACGAAAATACGAGTGTGCAGCGAGTATGGGCGGCGAGCGAGGGGGGGAGGCGAGAGGGAGAAGGCGTCCTCAGAAGGCGGCGGGACTTCTCAGAAGCCCTGCAGCCTTCTCGTCTTCTGTGCCTTCCGGGGGAGTCTTCGAAAACTTCTCAGAAGGCCGGGGGACTTCCGAGCCTGCTGAGCAGGCCCGCCCCTTCTCGCTTCCCCTCCTCGCTCGCCGCCGAGGTCACGAAAAGAGCATTGGTGTGAGCACCCCCGGAGGGGCTCGAGCAAGAGGTGAGCACGGGAGGAGGAAGAGCAGGAGGAGGGAGGGTCGGGAAGGAGGGGTCGGTCCGGCACAGGAAGGCGGACGCCTGGGCCGTCTGGTCACGCCGCCGCACGCCCCGCGCGCGGCGGCCGCGGCCTTCCGTCCTCAGGAGGAGGTCGTTGGAACCTCTGCGGCAGGCCCACGCGGCGTGGAGTTGGCCCGCTCTCGCAGCAGGTGGCCCAGTTCACCGGAGGGGGGAGCTCATCCTATGGCCTGCGGCCCATCCCGCAACCGCGCCTGGGCTGTGGCTCTGAAGCCTGCTCGATGTTCGTCGGGGTCTCGTGGGGGGGGCCTCTGGGGGGCCTCTTGGGGGCAGCTCTGAAGCCTCCTGGGGGCCGTCCTGGGGCCTCCTCGGGCCTCTTGTAGGGCCTTTTCGGGGGAGCCTTTGGAGGCCTTGGGGGGCGCCTCTTGGGCGCCTCTTGGGGGCCTCTTGGGGGCCTCTTGGGGGCCTCTTGGGGGCCGTTTGGGGCTCTTGGGGGGCCTCTTGGCGGGCCTCTTGGAAAAGGACATCCCGCCTGGGTCGCCCACGGAGGCCCTCCTCTAAAGGGGCCCAGGGAAACACAAATAAATACACACACACATCCCAGAATTCCCCATATTTTTCCATACCTTCTGGGTCTTCGTCTTCCCCCCACTTCCCATATGTTCCCATATTTCCGGGGGAATCGAAGATTAATTGTGTCTGTGTTGTTGTTCCCTACTGATCATCGGGTGCCTCCGTCGGAGCGTCTCACCTAGGAAATGGAGGCGGGAGCCGCTGCCTGCGGTTCGGAGCCAACCACGCAGTCCAAAGCCCAAGTAGGGGATCAGATGCGAACCCTACCCCTACCCCCCACGATTTCCGAAGGGGAGGGTGGGGTTCACTTCGCTCGGGAGCTGCCAAACGAAGTGAACCCCACCCTCCCCCTCAGAAATCGTGGGAAGTAGGGGTAGGGTACGCATGTGGCCTCCTACCAAGACTTTTTTCCGTCGGCAACGAGGCGGGGCAATCCCCTCCAGCGTAGCAGCGATGCAGGGGCACTACAACGCGAATTGGCTGGCATGCAGGAGGGAGGGGAAGAGGAGGACAGGGCAAACCGAAGCCCAAGACACTCCGCTGCAACAAATACACTGCGGGCGCGGTCGCAAGAAACCATCGCAAGAAACCCAACCCGAGAACCCCCGCGCGAGGTACGCCTGAGGGGAATGCAAGAGCACCCTGACCGCAGCAGCCTCTTTGACGGCCGCGGGATGTCACCGCGCAGCGCGCGGAGAGAAGAAAACCCAGGGTATCCTGACGAAAAGCAAATCATTTCTTGATGCGCGCCCCCACTAGTGTGCGGGCTGCGGGACGGGCATTTCAACTAGAAAACAAATTGGCGCCAGAGGGGTAAAGAACAACAACAACAACAACAACAACAACAACAACAACAACAACAACAACAACAAAACAAAAAACAACAACAACAACAACAACAACAACAACAACAACAACAGCAACAGCAACAACAACAACAAAAACAAAAACAAAAACAAAAACAACCACCACCACCACAACAACAACAAGTTTAAGACTGTTCGCTCCTATCTGCTCAAGCACTAATCAATACGTGAATCGCAGACCCTCGGTACCCACACTCGTCGTCTTCGATCTTACCCGCTTGGGGGTATATCTTCCTTACCTGCCACGTGTATTTAGTGCAGCCCCTAATGCAAGGGAAGAGAGGACGGGTGGAAGGGGGGGGAGAATAATGGAGCACGAGAGAAATTAGCAGGAGGGCAATGAGCAGAAAACATGTGGTATAACCAGACGCGCAGATCGGGTGAGCAGACCCATAGCGGGCAAGTCGGGAAGGCGGGCCCAGACGACGAGGTCGAGCAGGAGGGTTGCTGAAGCGTGGGTCCTGCATGAATCGCGAGGAAGTCTCGAGCGATAGCGCGATTCCCAAGTACATCGTGAGAAAAGCCAGCGTAGGCCACGAAGGGCATCAAATACAAAGCCACAGAGGGCAGCGACGCGGCCACCGGGGGCAGCACCAGGGCCACGAAGGGCAGCGAGGGGGCCATAAAGGGCGACAGCGGGGCCACGAAAGGCACGCATATGGGGCCACGACGGGAGCGAGCGGGAGCCACGAAGGGCATTCGTATACGGGGCCACAAAGGGCGACAGCGGGGCCACTGAGGGCAGCAAACGGGCCACGAAGGGCAGCGAGGGGGCCACGAAAGGCGACAGCCCGGCTACGAAGGGCATGCGTATGGGACCACGACGGGCGCGTGCGAGCAGGGACCACGAAGGGCAAATAATGCGGGGCCACAGAGGTCAGCGACGGGGCCACTGAGGGCAGCACGATGTCGAAGGAATCATGTCCGGCGCGAGACCTCTCTGCCCAGGTGCGCCGGCAAATCTCATCGTAAACGAGCCCCAGCACGCCACTCCGATTGGCAGTGGGCGCTTGCGCGGCCACCTGCCGCGCCGCGCACGCATCGGACCCGCGCCGCTGGACCCGCACAGCAACGGAAATAAGCGGGCCTTCATGACGTTCTGGCGGTGGCGAAACGTCGCAGCCAGCGACATCTGCTCCGCGCAGCAAGCGATGGCGCACCTACGCGCTCGGACGACGCCGTTGCTTTAGGATGCGCGCGCCCCGCGCGCAGAAGCGCGCACCTGTCGAGCGCGGGATGCCATTGCGTGAAAGTGAGCGACTTCGCATTGACTGGGTTCGCGACGCCGAGCGCGCGCGAGGTCGCGAAGGTCCCGCGACATGGGCGGGCCCTCATCAGCCTCCTCTTTCGCGCTCTTCGATTCTGCGAACGGCAAGAACTTCTTCAGGTCAGCGAACACAAATGGCCGCCTGATGCCACGACGCTGCAGCCGCTTCACGTCCGACTCGAGGGCGTCGACCGCCGCGGACCGCGGCCAGAACGCCTGGCCCACATCCTTCAGAGCGCCTACTTACAACTTCGCCTGGATGTCCACGTGGCACATCGGCTCAGGCGCTGACCCGTTCCCGGCCACGCTGCCTGCGCTGGCCGGATTAGCCGCGCGCTGTTCCTCCGCGGTCAGAGATCTCGCGGCAGCCATCACTCTGGCTAAGAAGGAACGCTTACCCGCGAACGGGTTGCCTTGCAGTGCGGCGGCATCTGCAAACGCAAGATCGCGCACTGACGCCAACTCATTGTCCTGCGCGCGAGGCACGGGCGCGTCGTGGCGGCATTCGCAACCGGCCGCGGCGCCTGGCACAGGACTGCGCGCTGCCGAAGCCACTCGACGCCGCGGCTGGTCTCATCATGGGCCGCAAGAAAATCAGCCAGGCCCATGGAAAGCGCGGGCGTTGCAGCGCACATCGCTGGTGCGGCAGCGGCGCGCCTCACGGCGTGCGCGGCTCGCGCCTTCTCCCTGCGCGCACTGCTGGCTCCGTCGCGTAAGAACGATCATTGCGCGCTGCTCCTGATGTATGTCAACATGCTGGGCGGCGGAGACCGGTCGCTGTCTCGGTAGCATTGACACGGTCGCACTGACACGGTCGCGCTGACACGGTCAATGTCGCGGTCGCATTTACGCAGTCGCATTGATACGGTCGCCGAGAGACGGACGCGTTGACATGATCGCAACGGCACGCTCGCCTCGACACGCCCCACAGAACACGGACGCATTGACACGGCCTCATTGGCACGGCCGCATCGAAACGGATTTACTGACACGGTCGCATTGACACAATCGAAAAGACACGGTCGCATTAACACGGCCTTAAAGACGCGGCCGCATTGACACGGTCGCATTGGCACGGTCGCATTGGCACGGCCCTGGCACGGTCACATTGACACGGCCTCACTGACATGGTCACACTGACACGGTCGCATTGGCATGGTCGCATTGACACGGCCACGGCACGGTCGCATTGACACGGCCTTATAGACATGATCACACTGACACGGTCGTATTGGACGGTCGCATTGACACGGCTCAGGCACGGTCACATTGAAACGGGCTCAACGCGGTCACACTGACACGATCGTATTGGCACCGTCGCATTGACACGGCCGAGGCACGGTCACATTGACACGGCCTCATTGGCACGGTCACACTGGAACAGTCAAGGGAGCAAAAGCCGCTAGAGCGGCCCGACCACGCGCGCACCGAAGGCGCCGGCCTCGCGTTCGGCCGTAAAGCGCCCACAGGGCGGCGCGCGCGACGCGGGAGTATACTTACCCTCCCCCCCACCGCAGGGAGACGTGGGTAAGGGACACGAGCAAGACGAGGAACACGAAGTCCAAGAAGACCTGAGGCGAGGCAACCCAAACGCACCCCCCCAACCGACCCCAGCACAAGCAACGCGGCGAACTGCGGCGGGGTGACCCGGACTGGCGCCGGCGGTGAACCGTCAACCTGGTCACCGCCGGGAACCTCTTAGAGCTCCTTGCGCGCGTAAGAGTGCTCAGAATCGAAGCAGAGAACTTCGCAGAAGATTTTCGTGAAATCTTCAATTTTGTAGTTTTCATGTCGACATGAAGTTGGCTCCGCCAAGTATTTTGATAGTAAAAGTGCGCCTACCGAGCTCACATTAAGACGCAGAGGCCCTCATAGTCTTTCACAGGTGCGAGAAGTCTGGTTTCTCAAAATAAATTGTCAATTTTTTCCAAACCTTAGC